ATATCTTCAAGTAATTTTAATTTCACCTTCTGAATTGGAACTTAATCAAGAACAGGTATGATAACAAATTTATTATTGTAAAGGTTTGCTAGGTTATTTGCCTTCTGAAGGAGGCAGCGAGGCTGAAAGCCAAGCGGGGGGTATTAAAATTGGAGTTGAAATTAGTTAGAATTAGAGTTAGGGGTTAGAATTAGAATTAGAGTTAGGATTAGGATTAGGGTTAGGGTTAGAGTTAGAATTAGAGTTAGAATTAGAATTAGAATTAATGACATTATTAATATTTTGATTATTAGGAATTAGAAGAATAATATAATAATAGTTTTATTGAAGATAATTATAAAGCTCAACAAATTACTTTACAATCAATTATTGATGAAATTGGAAAGGAAGATATTAAAGAAATATAGAAGATTTATGATATCTGACCAGAAAAAAAGGCACATATTCATTATATTGGAATTTCTAATAAAATTTTTTTTTTATGCTCATGTTTAATTTCAATATCAAGAGGAATTATTTGCTTTCATTATTTTCGCATAATGATGTCATTTAAAATTGCAGGTTTTCATATTTCTATGATTCCGGAAAGATGATATCATAATTCTTATCAAGGACTAAAATTAATGCATGAAGAAAATATAATATTTGTTTATAAGAAAGATAATATTAAAAATAACAATAATTTGGCAACGATTTTACTATTATGTAAGGATATTACTATTCTAAAAACTGTATTAATCATGAAGAAATCTATTAATAAAAGAATAAGATATGGAAAATTATGGGGAATAGCACGCGAAGCTACATTATTTGCATTGGATTTTGACGATCATGAGATGAAATATTTATTACAAGATTATATCAATCGAAAAAAAGGGCAAAGTGAATCAATTTCAATAAATACTCAAACAGAAATATCTACATTACCATCTATTGAAGAGCATAAAGAACCAATACTTTTTACTAATAAAACGGAACAAATGGATATTAATGATAATACTGAATCAATTACTAAAAAACTTGAACTTCAAAACATTCAAAATCCACTTAAAACAAAGACCAAAGGACGTCCTCCAACAAAAAGGTATAAAAGTAGTGTAGAAATTGAACAAGGAAATAGTAGAAATACAAAAAGTTCTTCAAATCGCAATACTTATAAATGCCATATATGTGGCCAACCTGATCATAATACTGCATATCATAAAAAAGGAAAGGATAATATATTAAAGAACATGATGTTAATATATAGTTCTAATCAATTTTATTATTTGTAATATGCATTATATAAAGTTTAATAAATTTTAATTATGTGATATATTGCTATATCGCTAGTTTAATATTTTATATATATTTTTTTTTAGAGGCATCAAATATTGATATCACGCCCTTTAAGATAAATTTATGATGATCACGAGACGCAGTGTAAAATTTTTTCCAAAATAAAATATTAATGTTAATAATATAATTATTATATAAAAAATATAGTTTAATATATATTTTATCAACTTTATTA